ATATATATATATACATATATATATATATATATATATATATATTATATATATATATATATATAAACTGCTGTTTATTAGACCTATCACCCATACATAATTTTGTACAGATGTAAATTAGAGCTCTGCCCGTTTTGTTTGTTCAATTTTGTTTAGCTTTTTGTTCCCCTTTGTTCAATTCTTGTTCATTTTGATTTGATCATTTTGCTCATGTTATTTTTTTGCTGTTTCTCATACTGTATGAGTAAAATTTGTATGAGTAAATACTGTGTAAGATAAAAAACATGAAAATAATAATAAATAATAATAGCAGTAAATAATAATAATAGTAAAAAAAATAGTTAAGTAATTATTTTCAATTTTTAACTTTTTCAATTTTTTTATGAATGTAGTGAAATTTATTTAGAAATTTTGAAATTAACGCTGAAGTGGCAGAAGTACATACTAAAGAGTCAAAAAGTTAAGTGGGAATTTTTTTCCCCAGCTGAGATTCGAACTCGGAATCTCGGGTTATGAAACCGAGCTTCCACCGGCTACGATACGGCAGCGGTCAAAAGAGCACCCGGCAGGTAGATGCGATATGATATGACTACTAGGCACTTAGGATATGACTACTAAGCACTTAAAAAAAAAAACCCTAACCCTAACCCTAACCTAACCTAAACCCTAAACCTAACCTAACCCCTAACCCTAACCCTAAAAAAAAAAAATTAAATTAAATTAAAATGCCTAGTAGTCATATCATATCGCATCTAACTGCCGGTTGCTCAAAAGACGCGAAATAATTCCCACGTACGTGATGTTGATCTGTACGCACCGCCATCTATTGACGAATAGAATTTTGACTTAATACAATTTTTTTTTACTTTTTAACTTTTTTTAATTTTTGTCTCAGCCAGAACCACTTGCAAGACGTGGTGATTCTAAATATATCTTCAGTTACCGCGATTAAGTGAAAAATCACGAAGAAAAACGAGGTCAAACAAACACACACGCACACACACACACAATAAATAATAAATTTCCTTCTACGTCTTACAAATACTACATTTTCAATTACTTACATATAACGTATTCAATTACGCACGCACACACGCGCGCACGTGCGTACGCCCTCCCCCTCTCACACACACACAAACAACACTCGCGCGCGCAAAAGCACAATGAAATTACCGGTTATTGTCTCATCTAATATTCTTTACCTTTTCTTTTACTAATTACGGTATTTGAATTAGCTTCACGCTCTGTATCATGAGCCGGAATCCATCGGAAGCAACTCATCGTTCGATTATATCCTCGCGACTCGCGTCTAATCAATTATCAAAAATAACCTGCAAAGTACGCAAATTAGGCAAAACGCGCGGCCAATACATCATCTAATACACGACTCTTGATAATGTTATGCTATTCCATGGCTGTTATATACTATATATAGGGAACTGTAAAGCACGTCCATGTTAGCTTGCAAGTGAATCAAGCTTAGTTGCCAACTGGAAAACAATCATGTAACCAAAAAATGTAACTGTGACTGCAGTTTTTAATAGCTTGATTCATGCGATCGCGCCGCTGTTGTGATGGTAAAGCATAAGCTACGTTACTCCTCACCAGCGTTAGTGCCCTGAGACGTCCCTATAAACTCTGCTACAACAATTAAATATAATCAAGAGCGTATAAAGAAGCCTTCTTTGTACGCTCTTGATATAATATATAGCTGTTCGACACTTCATGACTGGCTGTATTTCGCAACTGGCGCTGCAACTTCCAATTGCGGACCGTTTTTTTAATTTCAGGAACAAGAGGTCACTTTCTCAAAATGCTTCGAATTATTAGAGGACAACCCATCAGAGCTCATTCGTCCTAGGCAAGTATATATATAATAGTGCATTTGTTAGCTAGTTATTTTTAGTTTGATCTAATACGATTGACATTGACATACATTGTTGATTCTATCAAAAAGAATAAAACATGGAGATTTGCAGTTAAGAGGTAGTGTACGTTCTATCATCAAAGCGGCGCAACTTTATATAGATATACATATAGATATTTATATAGATATACATGACGCAGTGCGGGCAAAAATTAAAATGTCCGCAAAAAACAAATGATCCATAGTTCTACTAAGCGATGCGCAGTGACGTACACACGCCACCATGACAGGAGTTGGAGACTGAGGCAAATTTACGCCCAAAGTTAATATCAAAAGTCGTGCAACACAAACAACTTGTCGAATAATACGGCTTTCCAGGAACTATGTCATTACTCACAAAGTGAACTACAGGCACCTAGATGTGTTGGTTTTTTCACTGCAGTACAACTACCAAGGTGATTGCGATATTGATTGCCAGCCATTGTAGGTTCAGACTTCCTTACAAGTGCCCGAAACCGTAAAAAAATTATTGATTCTTTGTTACCTGACTAATCGCAACCGTATGTGTTATTTTCAACAACTCAGGTTACAGCACTTAAAGAGGAGCGCTGTTGAATGTTTTTGTCCTCTATAATAATCACAAAACACAGCCACATGAATTGTAAAAATATGGTTATAGATACGTAGTCATTGCCTGATTGCACGATCGATGGCCGCGCTGTGGCCGGCTTTGATCTTTAGTTATATTTCAGTCTTTGCCATTTATGGTTACCATAACTTCGTCCCTAGCACATAACCTAACATGAAATGACAGGTTACACCTGAAGCATTCGTGCTTAGGAGCTCAGAGTCCAAATACACCGAAATGCTCTAGCATTTCTGAATTACCATTTCTTTTTTCCCGCAATTACGTATTGCCTGGCTTTTTGACGCGGGCGTGCTTCGGTGAATTGCAATTTATATTAAAGAGACTTTCTCCCGAAATCCATTTTGTATTTAATCAAAGTAGCATGCAAGTGTCGTGGTACCGAGAGACTAGGCTGCCACGCTACGAGAGGCTAGGCTCGCAGCTTTGCACGCAAACGCAAAGTGATGTGTTATCAGGCGCTTTATTAATGTTGATGTGCATGTATAACTAGCCTCGATCAGCACCGTATGTGCAGATTGATACCAAACCAAAAAACCCTGCAAAAGCAGAATGAAAATACACAGTTAACCACACATCCATGAGATCAAAAAATATACCTCATATCATAGAGGCTACAAAAATTACAACACTAATCTATCAACAATCTGATCATAAAGCTTCGAGTAATTAATCAAGTATTCTATGCAAGCATTTCGTTCATAAACATTTTCATCAGATAAACTCAACACAAAAGCTATTCAAACTTCAAAGTGTCGCAATCTTTTGTGCGGAGTAATATTGACACAGCGTCACCAGGTGACAGGACAATTAGGATATTAGATACCAAGAGAAGGTTTTATACAAGATAAGGTAAATTTACAGAGGACTGAAAATGCATTAAATGTTTTCAGAATATAACGCTATTTTAATTTTTTAAATGACAACGAGAATAACTGTATGGTATAACTTAATAAAAATACGAGACAATTGCTTTGCTATTTTCATTATGACCAAATTGTTTGGCCAATATTCCCAAATAATAGCCAATTTATTATATTATAGAAATTTGTAATATTATGTGCTGTAGACTAGTAATACAGGTCTCAGGTACAACCCAGAATGTTTTGACAAATCACTAAATTATTATACGAAATTACAATTCCACATGCTGAATTGCAACTGAAAGGCAAATATATATATTTTGCAATCCCTCATTAACTCTTTGACATTTAAATTAAATGAACTAGTTAATTAAAATCTTGAGCGTGCGTAGGCCGCACAATAGAATATATGTAGTATAGTGTTGTATATCCTAGGATAGTAGTTTTCTATAACACCAAAATATCACATGAAAAAATTGTAATAGACTAGCATTGAGAAAATAATGATCTTTTACTTAAACCTACTTTCAATAATGGATATTATATGTATATCGGCATATTTACGTGGTATTTTGCATGGCCTAACGACGCATATATATATATATATATATATATATATTCTCTGGTTGCGAGGGAAGTGTAGCATTTTGTGGGATGAGAAAATTAGTGTTACCTGAGACTCCAAAACGGGTGTCACCCGTCATTTAATGTATTGTACTTTTCAGCTTTTCAAAATGCGCCAAATGTATGAAATTGTAGAAATTCGCATTCATAAACAGCCGTGTTCAATATTTCAGCAACGTGCTTCGAAACAAATCATACAACGGATTAATAGCCAAACACGTCGCCTTAAAAGAGGAGGTAAGAAAATGAGAAAGACTGCATGAAGAATTGTCGTGTTGTTGAACGGTTATGACAATTTCTATAAATAATTAATTTCGTGGAGGTGGAACGCAAAAACGCGTGTGGCTAAATAATTGGAATAATAACAAATACTTACACTGCTGATTAGTTTAAATATATCGTTACCCGCACTCTAAATGATTTACCGACTCGTTCGTTATGTATAAAGGAGCATTGTACATGTTAACATGGCTAAATGATACATTACACACACACACACACACACACACACACACACACACACACACACACACACACACACACACACACACACACACAC